GTGCGCAGAAGTCTTTCTATTTCCTGTCTTGCTTACATTTATATTTATTCATTTGTATACATTTTATAAGTGTTCCCTGGGAACTAAGCCATTACCTTGGGTTGTTCAACACAGTTTTTTGTGTCTTTATTTTTTTTTATGTATTTTTGATGAAAAATTGAATAATCCGTAGTTTTTGTCATTGTTTTTCATGGACTAAAATGGCATATACACTTTCGTTTAACATTTCAGTACGTTTTTCATGTATTTTTGAAAGAAGTCTCTTGCTCGACAAGGCTGCTTTTACAGTACAAAAATGCAGTAAAAACAGTAATGTGAAATATAATTACAATTTGATTAAATATTCAATGAATAATTAAATATATTGTAAAATGTCATTTATTACTGTGATGTCAAAGCTGAATTTTCAGCATCATTACTCCAGTCTTCAGTGTCACGTGATTCTTCAGAAATCATAGTAATATGCTGATTTGGTGCCCAAGAAACATTTCTTATTATTATTAATGTTGAAAACAGTTTTACTGCTTAATATTTGTGTTGAAACAGTAAATATAATTTGTTTTCCTCCCCAAAATTCATTGATAAATAGAAAGTTCAAACCAACAACATTTATTAGAAATCTTTTGTAACATTCTTGTTGAATAAAAGTATGAATTTTTTTTTATTTTTATTATTTACAAATAATCTTTTGAATAATAGTGTAATTTTAACAAGAGGAAAACATTTTATTCAGTGTAAATAACATGTAGTTCACAATAATGTGCAAAATGACAAAAATGGATAAATGACAAAAAACAACAACAAAAAAACTAACAGTGCAAACTTTAAATATTTTTCCTCTTTTAAAAACATTGTTACATTATTAATATCTTGCATTTTTTTTCCTCATCATATTTTCAACTACCATATGGTTTAATAAAAATCTTTTAATTATCATAATTTTTGTCGCATTATTTTGAACAAAATCAAAAAAACTTTACATGAACACAAAACAAAACCTTTAACAAAAACTTTATTAAGAGGAGACACAAAAGTGCGAAAGGAAAAAAATGGGGGTCTCAAACTTTGTTATAGCAGCATGAGCTCCAGCATGCGAGATCACATTAGCTTCTTTGTTATATAAAATGTCCACCACTGTGTAAATGTGCACTCTAACCCACATCACATGAAAGACTGTCAGTCCCACATATGTATTTCCTGACTGGATAATTTGGTGTAAGCCTGTTTTGTGCATCTTGACAATCCTAAGCTCCATCCATCTGCCTTCCATCCATCTCCATAACGTCATCTGCCGCTTCATCCTGTCTCTATCCCCTCATCCTAATGCTCTTCTGTCTCCTTTTGTTCCTGGGTCTTTTAATACCAGCTCTTGTGATATGCTATTGTAAAAGCAGTAGTAATGCTACAGATGCCTGTAGCACTGGCTCCTGCACCCACCAGAAAGGAAACTTGGCAGTGTGTGTGACTTTGTGTTATGTGATGGCGGCGCGTTTCAGTTTACCAGCCGAACAAGAGGCCTGAGGCTGGATCTCTCCTGTTACCTTTACACTACAGAGAGCACATCTGAAATGGTGTCAGTCTTTCTCATGTGGCCTTTTCAGGTGGCTATCTCTTCCTGGGCCTCACCTCATGGGAAAACACGCTCTGAATCCACCAGCCGCTCATAGCCTGAAGGATTTCTCACTTTAACCCTGAAGGGGAAACACAATATTCATTTTCGTGCTTACTCAGTGACTTGGCTCCCTTTAACTCTTGTGTTAATGTGTGCTTTTTTTAAACACAACACTCGCTTTGTTTATATGGCTTTCTTGTGGTGTAACACTTGCTTTGTGTCGTAATTGTGTGTGGTTGTGTGTTTTGCTTTCTTTCAGTATGAGCAGAGATCGCTGTCCCTCATCCTGCGCCTGTGACCCTGTGGCTCCATGACCAAGTGACACGTTTAGCCCAGACCTTAAAATGGGTAAATATGCAAAAGACACCTGACACTACTGACTCTTCTGTGCATGTGTGTGAGGTTGCAGCATAGGTGTTGGGTTCAGATGTCAGGCCTATAACAGATCTCTTAATCCATATGCTATTAAAAATGTTTCCAATTTTTACAGGAATTTTTTTTTAAAATATTTGAAAATCCAGTTAATTGGTTAACACTAAATTATCCTACCATATACGGTAAAAACTGTAAATAGTTTAACATTGCATGATATGTAATATTAAATTAAAATACTGTCAAATGTATAGTTTTTCTAGTAAAAACTATGAATTACCATATAAATTATAGTGAAAACAGTAAAAGAACATTTCCAGAAGTTCCTGCATGTTATTATATTTTATTTTATATTTTTGTTATCAGTGATTTGTATTAGTGTGCCACTTACAATGGACTCTGATTTATCATCTGGATTTCTATTGTACCATCCGTATTATTATGATGGTTATCACATCAGTACATTTTAAGATAAAAAGCAGGTTTTGGTTCAAGCAGTATTGGTATATCAATGTCATATCACTTGATGAAAAATATGGTAATTAGTTGTACAATATCAGGGTTTTTCTGTCGATGCTGCTTTAAGAAGATAGTTAGTTGTCTATATAGGCCACTCATTCATTTTTGGATCAGAGCTAATATTTTCTTCAGAGTTTCCATGGATGAGCCTGTATGCCTCTTTTTCTGATTCCTGTTGTCCTGTTGTTTCACCTTGAAGTGTGAGTGTGTAAAAGAGAGTGATGGTCAGGGGCAGATGGACTCATCATTATCCAGTGTTATCTGTTCTCAGTAGGAGGGAAGGTCTATATAATCCCCACACTCCCATTAACTAAGACACTTTTATAGCCTGTAGATGTAAGAGGTCATGTGCTTGCCTGGACAGTGTCTATCAGAGCATCAGCACTCCTTTATTCTATTTATCCTTTTTGTTTTTCATATGTATAATTCACATGTTTCTTGACATGCAGATCAGCATACTAGAATGATTTCTGAAGGATCATGTGACACTGAAGACTGGAGTAATGATGCTGAAAATTCAGCTTTGCATCACAGGAATATATTACATTTTAAAATAGAAAACTGTTATTTTAAGTTGTAATAATATTTCACAATATTACTGTGTTTACTGTACTTTTGATCAAATACAGTGTGATCAAATGCCTTGGTGAGCATAAGAGACTCATTTCAAAAACATTTTTAAAAATCTTATTTTACTTTTGAACGGTATTGCATATTCCTTTTGAATTATACTTTTTGTATTCTGTATTTACCTCCTGCCAGTTCATTTAATTTTCTGTCCCTCATATACCAAATATCTTGCCATTATATTAGTCCTGCAGAGCCTTGCTTTTGCTTTTATTTGGTCCATCTTAGGTCAGACAGAAAGTAACAATAACATAAATATAGTAAGATAGTATAAATATTATAGATGTACACATATTTACATATAACATACAACCATACATTCATTCAGATTATGAAAAAAGAAAACACCAGGCAAGCATAGTTATACTTTCAAATAAATAAATAATCAAATAGGGAGAAGGGAAAAAAAAGACAGAAAAAAATACATTTGTAAAAATTCTATTATATTATAAAATTAAGATGTAGTTGTCTCCTTAAAATATTCCAGAAAAGGGCTCCAGACTTTCAAAAAAAAGTTTTGGCTTTTGTTTTATTGCAAACCAAATCTTTTCCATCCTGAGAGCATGTAAAAAGTCAAAAAGCCATTGGCGATAAGGAGGGCGAGCTGCTGACTTCCATTTCATAAGAATAAGTCACCTAGCCAGTAAAGACTACACTATCAGCATGTAATGTGTTTAATTTAACAGATTCTGGCAAAATATCAAACACTGCTGTTAAGGGGTTGGGGTCTATTGGTAAAGAAAAAATAACAGAAAAGCACCTAAAGACTTTCCTCCCAAAAATCAGACAGCTGCTGTTATTTTTCCTGTCTGTGTGGATAGTCAGGAGGTGTTGCTCAGCCTCCATTAAGAGATTTGTTGACCCAAATATATTCTGTCATCATTTACTCACCTTCATGTCATTAAAAACCTGAATGACTTTCTTTCTTCTGCGGAACACAAAAGGAGATATTTTGAAGAACGTTGGGAACCAAACAACATTGAACCCAACTGACTTCCATTGTACAGAAAAATAAATTTTTCAAAATATATTCAGAATAAAGAAAATCATACAGGTTTGGCATGACATGATACATGATGACAGAATTTTCTTTTTGGGGTAAATGATCTCTTTAAGGCTCATAAAATATTTCTCACAGGGTGCATGTTGCTATAGAGCAGATTAAGATGCTGATTTTCCAAAATTAGTCAGAGAGAAAGAGAGGGTTGGATTGGGTGGAGAGGAGTGGTTGAGTGAGTGAGATGGAGGATGATAACAGGGAAGAGCAGGGGAGCTCTACAGGGTAGAGGAAGCAAAGGAGAAGAATGGCTCAGCATTCCCTAGAACTTCACAGCCACCACACCAAACAGGAAATGCACAAGTTCCCCGCTTTCTCTCTGATGGAGCAGGGAGGGGCGAGGAGGGGGAGGGGAGGG